ATGCTATGGTAACCAGACTGCTGCTAAACATACTTATATATTTCTAAATACATACATATTATAGATAAATTACACCCAGACACAGAACAAACGACCGTGCTCATCACACAAATATTTGTTCTGGGTGGGAATCGAACCCACGACCTCCGGTTTAGCAGTCAGGGTCACTAACCACTAGACCAACAGGCCCGTCAAAATGCATTAGCTCACACTCGATGGGTTTCTCCTGTTTTAATTTAGAAGTCAGTCAAAACAGCGTTATTATTATACACCAAATTTGAGCCCAATAGATCATAAAGAAGTGGTTCTAATTTAGCTTCCAAGGTTCTTGCCTGCAAGATATATATAATATAAACATTGAAAAGAAAATAAAAGCTTGTTAAAAGAAAACTGATGAGAAAAGCCTGCATGTAGATGAAATGTGTACAAGGTGAGGAATAAATATCGTAGACAAAACCTGAAAGTAGCGCCAGTAGTCGATAATTTGATAAGCAACAGATTATTGTGGTACGATCATGTGATGCGCAGAGATGAGCGAAATGTGGTAAAGAAAGTTCTAAATACGGAAATTGCCATCAACTAAGAGGAGACACCAGTCAAGATATAACTACCAAAGAAGCTTTGGCAAGAAATGTCATAATCAGTGAATTATTGAAGATTAACATTTTATTTTACATTGTGTTAATTATTTAAAAAAAATAAGTCTAGAGTATTTTACTGCTTCTAAATAACACGCGTGTAAAATCCAAGTGAGCCGCAAATATGGTATGAATTCAAAAAGCCTAAATAAAGTTGACTAATATTTTGTTATTTAAGTTTTTTTGTTTAGTATTTAAGTTATTTTGTCATGTTAAACATACCCGTAGTACTAGCTACGTGCTACGGCGTAGCAGACATCTACGATGTACGGCACTAGTTTGATTGGATAGCATCGAGTCGAGTACAATAATCGAAGTCTGACATTTCAATTTTAGATTTAAGTTGTACTTCCCTTAAACCCAGCCAAGAGAGTGTAGAGTACCGTAGTCGCTTGTTACAAATTGCGGACTTAGCATTGGCTATCCAATGACGTTTTAAAATAGATATCTAGTCACGAATTAAACTAACAAGCAAATAAAATACGCATGTCTTTTCTTAGACTACTATTACTTCTGAAATAACAGACCTAACTTAGCCACACAGTTTGCCTGCTAAGCTCGTTATATATACTATCATCACTTTACGTGTTCGGAAAGTACCCTATTTTTTTTTGTTTTTACATTTTTAATTTACGACTTTGTTGGCGTAATTTATATACCAAAGCAAAATTACAGCTAGAAAGCTGTAATTTTGCATTAATAACTAACAGTCTCTAAGCTAAGGCGCGGACAGGTGGACACGGTGAAACTATAAGGAGTCCTACGGAACACTAAAAAGGAAAAGTAGAATCTCTTTTCAGTATAATATGAAAAACGGTGTTTTTGTTTGACTGCTTTATTTCTGCAAATATTTTAATTTCAACAATCGTTTGTTTAATGTTAACTGACACGTTGAAGTTGATCTTCAAGTCCCGAGGCGAACTAAAATCACAGATCGACATTAACGAACTGATAATTTTAAAAGTAGATTTATCTCAATTCACGTCAAACTCAGCATCCTTCAAAATGAGAGAATGATAACGTTTCAATTGCGTCATTTTGTAAATAAAGTTACCAAACAATAATAATTACAACTTACTAAATATTTTTGGTTACTTGATTCTTGGATCCAATGGACCATTGATTGGTGATACTTTATTTCGTTTCAAAGATATAAATCTACAGCTAGGTGTACAATTATATGTCTTACAATCTATATGTCTCAATAATACATGAAATAATTAAGTTTTATATGAGTGACAGGTGACCTGTATCATAGGTTTTTTATGAAACCGATCCGATCCCTTCGGATGAGTTACTTACTTACTTACTTACTCTATTCATAGCTTGAAAAAATTTAGGATAATTTTAATAGTAATAAGCTAGGGATGGCAAAACCATTAGTCATATAGTGTCATAGTGACGACCGAATGGCGCAGTGGTTTGTGTAACGGACTGCTATTCCAAAGGTCGCGGGTTCCATTCCCGCTCAAGTCAAACATTTGTGTGCATGAACATTTAATGTTTGATTTGGTCTGGGTGTTTCTATGTATAATAAGTATATATTTACAAAAAAAAAGTATATATGTATTTATATCAGTTGTCTAGTACCCATAGTACAAGCTCTGCTTAGTTTGGGACTAGATGGCGTTGTGTGAATGTGGTACAATATTATTATTATTAATTATATATGTGTGTGGTGAGGTGTACTCGTATAATGAGTCAGGTTACGGTGTTTGTTTTTTTTTAAAGACAACTCCCACATTAGCCGGACCGGATGGCGTAGTGGTTTGTGTAACGGACTGCTATTCCAAAGGTCGCGGGTTCAAAACATTTGTGTGCATGAACATTTAATGTTTGATTTGTTCTGGGTGTTTCTATGTATAATACGTATGAATTTACAAAAAAAAAGTATGTATGTATTTATCTATTTATATCATCAGTTGTCTAGTACCCATAGTACAAACTCTGCTTAGTTTGGGACTACATTGCGTTGTGTGATTGTGGTAGAATATTATTATTATTATATTTTGCATGAACTAACTTATCTACCTTGAAAGTCTTATTACATATTTTATTGAAAATCAGTTCTAAATAAGTAATAAAAACATTCGAATTTCAAGTGACTCTGAAAGAATCCATAATATGTATAGTTATACCAGTTTCACTTCGTAAAAAAGCGATCGAAGGCCATACTAAACTTTATAATATTCTACCTGAGATCAATCACATAAATATTTGCCGTCACAACATACACACAACCTTCTATCTTTTTACCTACAACATAAAACTCAAAACCCCGTGAGAAGTTACCAGAAAGCAAAAATGAATAATTGAAATGTAATTTATCTTTTTCAAACTCTGCCGAATGACTAATATTTGATGTGTAACGACATTAATGTTTGTTTACTATGTTCAAAAGGTTTGCAACCTGATCTATTTGATTAAATAGTTATATTTTAGTTAAACTGTAAGTCATTCATAAAAAATATCTTTTACACAAAGGCGTTACTGCATCATGAGTCTATGATTGTTAAAAACTCACATATGTATGTGACGACATAACTAGCTCAATCTAACAAACGCAAACGAAAGTTATTGGTGATTACTATACCAAATCGCGCAATATAAGTTCTCACGCTGATATGTATTTAGGTATATTTCAAAGGTCCGTGTGGTGACGGATTAAGAATACAGAGTGTCACCACTCCTATTCATGCCGCCATGTCTAGCAGTTTACAATTAAAGGCTGTTGATGTGTGATGAAATTTCAAAGAAGCGTAAAGTCTACATGTGAACATTTACAAATTTTTATCACATCATTGAAAAACATCATATATTCCACCATAACCGTGACTATCGATGTGGCTCTCTATCATTTCATACCTATTCGCATATATTTAAGAACTGCTTAGTAGTACACTAGTAATATATATTAAATACCACAGTGCATTTTTCATCCTACTTCAAGAGTTATTAGTTTTCGTCACAAACCTGTTCTTAACAGCAATGCTCAATTAATAGACTCTCCTGTTTTATTTCAGGTGAAACTAATTTAAACTTATTTCTTAATACTGCTAATAGCTTTCACCAACATAAACAAGTAAATTAAAACAAATGGCCGATTAGATTCAGAGAACTCAAATATCATTTATCACTGTGGGTTGAGCTGAGTAACTTACGAAATGGGGTTTTCCTTAACCGAAGTTTTTTTATACTTGATGTCCTGTCACATCCTTGACCAACGGATAACATTTCTATTTGATGGTGGGTAGTTTTGTGTAAACATAAATACATTAAATATAAAAAAATCGGTTGTCTGTAAAGTCGGTTTACTGACGATAGTTGAACGTGACAACGTCATAAGAAAATACTGATGGAATGGTTGCATTTTACGAAAACATGTAAATGTATTATTGTATAGCAGCTGTCCACGCGGACGTATTGCTCACTCAAGTAGGAGAGAGACAGATGTCAAACTCTGCCGAAGGCGGAGGCCGATTGTGCCTCTTTGTCGCTCGTTCCGCGCTCTCGCTTGCACTTCAAGCCTTATGGAACGCCTCAAAGCGAGGTAACGCCGCATGAGTCATGTTTTTTCGTGCGTGCAGCCGGCTCCATCGAATTATAAGACGTTGTCACGTCAAAAATTGCAGACTAAGGTCTTGGGTACATTTTGCATATGATTTACATGTTATTGTCATAAGATTCTTATATAAATCTGACTGTCTATTCTAAAATGTGCAAGAGTGAATAGAAAAAAAGTAGAATCAAAATATTACAAATTCTTTTGCAATCGGCCTGAGCTAGGTGTGTGACCTGTGTTTCACGCTGTCGCTTGACATATGTTAGATACAGGATGTTAACAGTTCATAGTTCTAATAGACTATTAATTTAAAGTACTTTATAAAAAAAAACCGTGAATACCGAGTGAATTACATACTTAAACCTTCTTAAACAATTCAACCTGGACGGGCCTATTGGTCTAGTGGTTAGTGACACTGACTGCTAAGCCAGAGGTCGAGGGTTCGATTCCCACCAAGGACAATTAATTGTGTGGTGAGCACGAACATATGTTCTGTGTGTAGGTGTAATTAGTATGTATGTATTTAGAAGTATATAAATATTTTTATCAGCAGTCTGACTGCAGAGATGTGTAAAGATTCATTATTATTGATCTTAAAACCTTTTTAAAAATCATAATTCTCTACATTTTTATAAATTATATGCTTCTTTCAGAAGTAAGTTCCATAACTGGACCATATTATTACAAGTCTGAATGGATTTTGGTATACGCTACCATTTTAGCATAGGAATATTTTATATTAAAAAAAACATGTCACGACAATCAGCCTATTGCAATCCACGACTTATTATATGTCTCTCTCAACGTAGCCCTCGACCCACCGCCTTCCGCAACCAATTTTCTCCAGCTACCTTTCTCAGATCATTAGTCCTTCTGGCTGTCTTTCTTCGTGTATGTACATATCTTCGGTCTCTACTCTAACACACGTTAAAAAAAATATTTTTACACAAATCATCTTATAATCACATATCTCTTTATCTCTAATTCTTCAAAAAATCACTCAGTCACTTAAAATTCAAACATTGACAAAAGAGATTTATTTATAAAATGGTTGACAGCGATTTTGAATCCTTAAAAGTAAAAATGTTCTCGCTCAAAAGGATAGGTAAAATTTCTTCATATTTTCTTCAGCTTTTTAAACAATTCCTCCTCCAAAGAACCCACGGAATGTTCTAGAGTTAGAGGCGTGTTTATGAGTGCTGACGTAATTAAGTTAATGGCCGCCTCGCCAAAATGAAAAATGAGAAGAAAAAGCAAGAATAGTAAATGAAAACAATAGACTTCGCAACCAAACTCTTTTGAAAATATGAATTTAATTGTCCCGAAAGCTTTTAAGGTGGAACAAAGCAGTTTTTAAAAAAATATTACGAGAAACAGAAATCATATTAATAATAATTACAAACTAATCAGAGCCTGTACTATGGTAACCAGACTGCTGATAAACATACTTTAAAATACATACCTAACATATTTATATTAAATATTATATTTTAATATAAATTGCACCCAGACACAAAATAAATGACCGTGCTCGTCAAACAATGTTTGTCCTGGGTGGGAATCGAACCCACGACCTCCGTCTTAGCAGTCAGGGTCACTAACCACTATACCAACAGGCCCGTCAATATGTATCAGGAAGTCTTTAAAACGAATATGAAAAATAAATAGATCTTGCTTCACTGTTGCTAATGACTAGACAAATTTGATTTGTTGGAACCGTTTGCAGGATCACTGAGTTTTTTTCTTGCATTGAGATTAATAGAACATTTTTTTCAATCATCACATCAACCCTTTACTCGTCCCGTGCTGGACATAGGCCTCTCCTTAGAAATGAGCTTTTGGCCTACTCAATACTAGCTCTAAAACTCAAGCAATACGCTTTTATTTACATTGATATTTATTTGTGAAAGCTTAAATTTTTTTAGGCATTTAAGCATTCACACACGCTTCTATTTCCCGAAGGCACATGCAGATATTTTTGGTTGTGTTTATATAGTTTTAGCGTTCATCCATTCCTTTAAGTTATTTTGTTAATTTATACAACAGAAATCAATAGATACTGTTTATGATATTCATAGTAAAAATGGGGTGGTGACAATTTGTATTCTTAATCCCCCAATTCATCCCGTGGGTGTCGTAAGAGCCGACTAAGGGAGCAAACTAAGCAGGACAACAGCACTGCAAAGAGAAGGAAAACTTGAAACAAACCCTGTACCAACCCGTCTGGCCAGCGTGGTATAGTAGGCCAAAACCTCCTTTCTAAGGAGAGGCCTATGTCCAGCAGAGGACTAGTATAGGCTGTTGATGATGTTGATGATAGTAAAAATGATATCTTCTTGTATCTACTACTTATACTTCTGCAATATAATATGTGAGTGTTCTATTTTCAACATCAACAATGCATACAGATCTGCTCTCGATCTCACAAATGTCATAAAAAGGTCTTTTCGTATTAAAGTATTAATAAGACTAGCAGATTACCGATTTAACTTTCGGTCACAATACGATATAATCATATTATAGTCAGCGTTGGATGTCTAATACGTTACCACGAAAATACTTTTAATGATATTTGTGAGTTCAAGAATAGATCAGAAGAATTGAATTTTCTTAGATGTCAAAAACTGTATAAAAATATGTAAGTGCTACAATCATCTTGTGTATATAGAAACATATAAAAAAAAGGCTTTTAAGAATGGATCTTCTAGAAATTTTTACTATTTAAACTCAACTAAATACGAATAAAATTAAAAACTTCGGAAAGGTTAGGCATAAATTACAAAAATATATATATTCGCTCCCAGAAGTATCTTCTCGAATTCTGAATCCGAATCCTTATTGATCGTCTCCCAACTCCTGTAGAAAAGGACAGTAGGTCTGAATCCATATGTTAGAAAGAGATAAAAAGATTTCTGTTGGTACAGCCATATCGCAGTGGGGGTGTCTATATCTTCGGGTGGCTGTAACAGGATTTTGCGATCCTTGAAGCGACTTGAGCGAACCGAATCTTAATAGCTCATTAATATACGCATATAGCCACTGATTTCGATGACTTCGTCGGCAATTATTATAATCTGTGCTCCCTACACCAATCAATTACCATGGAAAATTTAACGATGCAAAATTAAATCAAAAATTATGCAATCGTTTTTAAACTCGTTAAGAACAATTTAAATTAATAATTTGGACAAAATCACTTACATAATTATGATCTTTCAATTAAAACGGGATATTTACCACTTTTATTTTTGATAATAAGTCGATATTTCAACACTGTTGCAAGCGCCATGATCGCAGATGAATGGAATAATAATAAAAGCTTCACACATATTACACACGGCCGTCTGGTTCCAAACTAGGCAAAAGCTGTGCCATGGTAACCAGACTGCTGATAAACATACTTATATATTTCTAAATAAATACATATCATAGATAAATTACACCCAGATACAGAACAAATCATCACATAATTGTTATTCCTGGGTGGGAATCGAATCCATGACCTCCGGCTTAGCAGTCATTGTCATTAACCACTATACCAAGAGGCCCGTCAATTATTAGAAACTAAGCCTGAAAATAAACATGGCAAATATTCCGTTCACAATAATTTATCACTGATACATGTATGATAATTTGAAATAGAAATAACATTTTAAAAATACAGTCGAATTGAGAACCTCCTCCTTTTTTGAAGTCGGTTAAAAATTAATACCAAATGTTTCTTTCCTAAATTGACCTTTGTGGTTCGGCGCCGTAGTCGCTGCACGTCGGGAGTTTTATTCCCCCTCAATTCAGTCGGCCCAGTTGGTCTACTGGTTAGGTCCTGATTCCTAATCCGAAAGAATGCCACCACTGCAACTGCCCTATTACAACCGACAAGAGCCCCTTATTAATAAAAGCATTCAGCTCAGTAAAAGAATAGTAGTAAGGTAACCCATGTTACTGGTGTTTAAACAATAAAAAACATTGGCATAAAAGTTTTTGGAAGAGTTATTTATATTTATTTAAACTAAGTGGAGCCCTCGTAGAAAAAGAGTTTTTTTTTTTAAATATCGTAATAACTTAAAAGTTTGGATTTTAAAGATATTTGAAAAAAAATATCTTGAGATGTAGGAACCTGTATTTAAAAATCACACAAAAATTCAAAATGTATTTATCAAATAGCCAGCCTTCCTTTCGGTCCGGTTCGTCCGGTTATGACTTATGTGTAACGAACTCCAATCAAGCAGACCCAAAATACTTATGTGAATATAAACGTATATCTTTCATAAATACTTACAACTCAATATGTTATTGCTTCCATATTGTAAATATTATGGCAACAATTATGGACCCTGTCGGGTACAGCAGTTTTTTTGGGAGAGAGAAAGATAACACAACCTATATATACAGTAGAATGTTTTGATTGTAATTAATATAGTAGGATACCTATATATGTTGTATATGTATGGTAGCTATATCTGTTGTATTATTATATTATTAATTATAATCAACATTGATACTTATATTTGTTCATAATTTTAATATTGATATAATAGTGTATAAAGAAATAAAACATTGTCCGTTATTTATTCAATTCAGTTATTATTTTAATTATTTGATCGATTAATTATAATTAATTTAGTAGTCATAAATATATTATATTATTAGAAAATGGAAGAAAAGAAGACACTATTATTTCATCCTTTTTATTTTGTCTAATCTGGTTATAACAATTATAGAATAAAATAAAGATGAAGTCCTGCTTCATTATTTGTGCGATAAATAAGAGTATTTACTCACCGCTTGTGACTTGAAGAGTAGTTGCGAAGAGGCATAGCAGCGACAGCGACAGGCATCCGAGCGAGTTGAGCCAATATGCCGCGGCCATACTGTATCCTACACAAACAAACATCACTAATTAATAGCATAGAAATAGTGTACAGGCTTGAATACTTAATGAGAACAATAATTTAGCAAGAGTGTGGCCCCACATTCGTGACAGGTACTGAATCTACAAGCTTAGTTTAAAAAAAATACAATTTTCTACGAACATCTAATCCAGGACATCACATATAAATATTGTATCTTAGTTTTACGATCGAGACAATAGAATCTTATGCCAATTTTGCAAAAAAAAACAATGAGCCATACTCGGTAGTCGCATAGTTAAATATCACAAATTGTAAATAATTTATTTGTCCCCCAAATTATTATAAAAACCTGTCAAAATTGCATAAATAGAAAAAAAATATATTGCCGTCCATTGCTCGAACTTCATACACCGAAAACAACCGAACTAAATTTTTGATTCTTTATTACTATTGCCACCTAGTGAGTATTGCAGGAACTATCTAATAGGATCGCTTTCCTAGTGGTGCGACATTATCGAGGTGATTTTAACAGGCATTAGGGTTGGTTTGTAGTATCGACTGAAACTCATAGATGGCGTTAGAAACGAAGTATGAAAAAATTCGGCCAGTCATATGACCTTTTCAGTAACAGAACAAAATTTTGATGTCATTTGATTTTATTATAATTATGATCTGAATCCATTGTAACAATTTTCAACATTCTCCGAGTCGTATTTAACTATAAGTTCATACAATTTACATAATACGAGTACTTTAGTTTATCCATTATCACAGTAGCGCAAAATTTTTCGCAATTTACGTCAACTAGAAATCGCATGGCAGTCTAACTTTGACCGATTGAATTTCTTGTATTATAACAAGACCTTTTCTACCATGACATGTTCACACACACACACACACATCACATTACAGTTAACGCTGGATGTTTAATACTTTACCACGAAAATATCTTTTATTACAGTTGTGAGATCGAAAGTTCATCGAAACGGGAATGAGATCGAAATTTTATTATGAGAATTGACCTTCTGGTGCCGTTTGTCGTGTGTACATTTAAAAGATCATTAAGAATGAAAAAAATTACCATATCGTCAGCATGTGTGTTTGCGACGCGGCTCACCGCCCACCGCAGTTCACCTGAAACAAGCAACATTATCATAAAAATGAGTTTTGTTTTAAACAAATTTAGGAAAAAAAATAATGTTAAAATTTCAAACAAAATATCTATACAATAATTTTCTTTACGTATAACGAATAGATAATATTATACTGTGATTGAAAAACTACGTAAACGTAGTAATCTTGCAGCCGGTTTTTAGACTATCTAAATTGCTACAGCTACGAACTTGCTACGAGTAAACGTAGCGTCATGAGCGCGTAGTGTACATTACGTCCAACGAGATAAGAAATTGTAGAACGTTCTATATTAAACAGAAATTTAATGGCTCTTCGATAGAGGTATTAGTAATAGTAGTAGGAATTACTTAGTACTGTAGTTCTGCCTATCTTCGCGAGATGGCGCTAAAATATCTTTTGTTATACGTAGATGCTACAAATTATATAAAAAGGAAAACACCCTTATACTGATATAGTCTGATACCATTGAGCACATTAATAGTCTTTGCTAACGCTTTCAAATAATATTTATACAGTTTATCGTCTTAACCAATTGAAATAACACGAGAAATGTTGCCTGTGTCAATAAAAATATGATTGCCACCAATTCGGCTGTTTTCTTTTCCGTTTTATACCAATAGGGGAGCGCTTTATGTCAATAACGAGTGTGAAAGAGTAAATACTGAAATACGTTACACAGTTTCCCTGTTTCTTTTAATCTGACAATACTAAAACTGATCTATATTTCACATATTCTTAGTATAGTGCTCCTTTCGGAAAATATAATAGAGAAACTTATGCTTTCAGATTTTCTGACGTGGATATTATTTACATATTCTTCAGTAACAGAAGTTTCTGTCATGGTGAAAGGGACTTCTTACATTTTTTTTGAAAAGGAGTTAATGAGCAGATAGGTCACCTGATGGTATGCGAATACCGCCGCCCAAGGCAAGACATGCAACTTTCAGAGACACAAATGCTTTATCGCCCTTTAAGTGCATTCCTCCTCAGGATTAGGGAGGCTTAGGATATCTCTTTTTTTATTATTATAGGGTGGTCTCTAATAAACTTACTCACAAAAGTAATGAAAGAATTGCTTAACAGAGGGGCAAGTGCGAGTTTATTTCATTTTACTCACTCTCGGCGGCGAGCGCGCTTGGTGAAGATTGGTGAAGACGCCAAGCCAAACACGGTCACCGTGACGAGCGAGTTCATATGTAATAAACTTGCACTGTTGTTGTGGTCTGTGACGCCCCGGTATTACTCCGGACGAGCCGGACCATTAGTGCTAATGCCCGTCTTTTGTTTATATTTCTATAATAACTCTCTTTATTTTAAATAACTTCGAATAAACTATTTACAACATTTCACGTACAGCTTGAAATATACGTACTATATATTTTAACTGTACATGAAAGTACATTTCTGTTAAATAATGAAATTGAGTACTGAACAAGTAATTTTAACTGCCAACAGGTAGTGGGTTCAATTGCCCCCAGGACGAATAATTGTTCTGTGTCTGGTTGTAATTTATCTATAATTATGTATGTGGATAGAAATATATACGTATGGTTAACATAGTACAGGCCCTGCCTAGTTTGATATCAGACGGCCGTGTGTGGGATGTGTGTAGTTATTATTATGATTATTATAATCCACACAAGTCACAAAAGTAACAAGCTGACAGTTCAAACAAATGAAAATCTAACGAAAAAGTTCCACAAAGCTACTAAATCAAATTTGACCAACCTAAAAGGAAAGGTGCAGAAAAAGCTGACTCTCCCAATTGAGTGAAGCAATAAGATACGACGGCTGGTAACCCTTATCGAGTTTCCTGGTGACCTCTAGGAGTATGCAAGTAGATCCGAGGGCCAAGTTTAGAAATCAGGGAAGAAACAAAGTAAAATATACCTGAGCTTGTAAAATAAGTGTTTGTGTGCAATTCACACTCGGCAGAAATAAATTGCCTTTTTTTATCTAAGAAGCTCTAGAAAATATTTTTTTAAATGTTGCCCGGGAATCGAACCCACGAATTCGTGGGTGCTAGCTAGTATTAAATAAAAAGATAAAAATATTCACACCGTCAAAATTATATATTAAAAATAATGTACATATAATGTATTCTATCTCGTTCTCTCGCCGACTTAATCCTATACATTTATGTTTGTTTCTTTATCTTGACGCATTTTTGTTTCTTCGAGTTTCAAATCACAACGATTCTAAAGAACTTTCACTACAAAAAACAACAAGACACTAACGACAAAGTACAAGCTGAACACAATACCTTTACATAGTATAAAATGAAGTCGCTTTTTTTTTCTTCTTAATTCTTCTTTTCTCTTTCTTAAGTCTTTATAATTAATTTAGCATTAACATATTTAAAACTTATAACCCACACTATTATCCACGATGTATATAATGCATTACGGAATGATATATCTTAAAAAGATCTACAAATAAGTCCGTGATGATATATGTCTATCTCCTAAGGTCCCACAGTAACCATTTTTATCTTAGACAGGAAGTTCTGGCCTACTATTACTATTTTGAACAATACAGTATTATTCCTTATTCAATTAAATACGTCAGAAACGTTATGCATTTAATGTACCTTAAAATTGCGCTTCACAGTGTATCAGTACAAAGAATATCTAAGTCGATATTAGAAATTTAAAACGCGGGGGCAAAGCGGCAGTCGCCGCATCGGGCCGTACATCCGTTCCGGTTGGGAGCAGCCGGCAGGAGCGGAACGGGCCTATAAACATTGCATATAAAAATGTCCTGTAGTATTGTCTTATCATAATAATAGTATAATTAATTACTCCACACTGACAACACATTAACAGTATTAGTGGTATCTACATTGCACCGGTGCGAAGCCGGGGCGAATCGCTAGTAAAAAATAAAACATACTCAAATGTACATCTGAATTTACAAATTTAGATTTGTGGTGATTTCCATATACAGTGAAACAGAAACATACTACAGCGCCATCTAACGAAGACACACCGAATTACGGAGTAACTGCTAATCTTGTATCACGATATGAATAATCCTCATGCTGATTAGCATATATACAACTTCCCAACAGCAACTGTTAGGCCGCATCCTGCCAAGCACTATACCTCGCCTATTCGGAGGATCCTCCTTTTGTGTTGGTGGGACACAATAGAATTTTTCATTAAAAAAAAACGACGGGTTGCACTCCGGGAGTGCCGGCAGAAGTGAAAACTTGAATATTAACGTTGTGCATTTTCGATATTTTGGAATGGTTAGCAAATAATTTTGCACGAATTAATTATGCTTTAATTATGAGTATAAAAGTACTATAATTTATGTGGTAGAATACAATACTCCTCCTACTCTCCATCCGTCTTACGAATTTTCGATTAGGTCACGTGTCCTGATGCGAGTTTAACATTTTTTACGCATTACAAAAGAAGTGTACAACGCCGCTAAAGAAGTTTTCACTTTAAAAAACACTTCCCGCACAAGGGCACAAAGAACACCCAGACTCAGAACCACAATTTGTGGATCACACATAGTGTTGCCCCATGCGGGGAGCTCACAATACTCAGCGCAGTAGGAAGCGGTGAGGTGACCGCTTAAACCGTTACGCCTTCCGTGTAGTCCAGATATCATGCAAGTAGGCGTTTCATCATCAGGAGTCCCTTAAGATTATTATATAAATATAAACGAAGTTTATAGTTACTACAAACTTAAAAAAAAACATTAAAGAGACTTTCCTCTTAAACTAATATTGATAAAGTCTAGTTGCAATTTTGTATGAAGTATGGTATAAAGAATACATAATCCTTACCTACTTATAAAAAAGCCAGCCATTGATGAGTGAGTAAATATTTTAAGGGCGGTGTTGCCATATATTTTACGGGCTTTTTAAGATCTAGGGGCAACAAATGTGAGTTTACGATCATATTGAACCCATTGTACTCGTTCCTTAACTTTGACAAGATAAAGTGAAACATGCTTTATGTCGTTTCGCCATCCTTGTTTATCTTGCAGTAAATATTTATCCACTCACTCTATTTATAAATTTGAACTTTGTAGAATGCCTGCAATGGTATTACCTAGTGACTGCAATTTAGTATTACTTATAAATGACCTACACAGCCGTATAAGGATTTAAAGGTTCGATTAAGTGTTCTTGCAAATGTCCAGTTCACTAATGAGGAATCGAGACACTACCTAGCGTCTCGTCTTACTGAATCACTGTTGGACTGTTTGATTGTAATTTCTTTATTTATTCTATTGTATATTTCTGCAAAGCTTATATTTTTGTACGATGGACCAGATGGAGGGAAATCGTCGTGCCGAAGAAACCGAAGAGAGTCACTCTGTGGTGTGCACTAACAACTTACCACAAGATGCTGCAATTCTCCAAAAAATCTGGAGTTTTCAATATATTCTATCTTCTTAATGCTCTCTATTTTATAAAAATATTTAATGTGTATACCTGTATCCACACAGCAAGAAAAATGCATTACCATGCGTACAGGAGAAATATAACCTTCCATTAGGTATATAGGAAGGCCACTACTTTGACCACAGATTATTGAATAGGAAAACAGATTGCTCATTTTTATACTGTGTGTATAAAATGTTGGTGGTGCGCCAATACACTACCGTAAGAAAATTTACCCAGAGGTCGAGCATGCAATGCAATACGTGTCTAATCAGACTTTGTTATTAACGAGTTTGATTCCAAGTAGCCTCCGATGTGTGTGTAAAGTAAGCACCTCAAAGTCAGTCAGAGCTTGGAATTGGTGCTTGAAAAAGAAATTTAGTACGTCTAGGAACGGTATGTCGGTTTTCTCAAACAAATATTTTGGGTTAAAAAGAACCTTATGTTATTCCAGACTATGATCTATTTCATCCAGGCCAACAGATGATTGAGTAACATACATTCATTCAAACTCTTGCAAACATAGTAGTAAAAACGGGTACACTACAAAAATACCAAAAACTTTATTCCGTCAGTCACAAATACTTGCGAATTTTAAAATACCGATTTTCATA